AGCACTCTGGGACACACCAGAGCCTCTGCAATCGAGAGCTTAACGTCAAAATGACAACCAGTCTGCAGATTTTCTTTAAAAAAACCCTACAGTGTTCTGCTTTGAACAGCTTTCCATTTCCAGATTTTTAAGACGTATGGTATTTCACACCAACATAAAAAATACTTGGTAATCTAGTTGCTAAGTTTCAAATGAAGCGAACTGCAATTTATTATACAATTAAGCACTGTTGGCATTTGAAAACTATGCACAGTGAATGGAGTTGTGCTCTTTCATCTTTGATTTTTGCCAAAAAAGCACAACTCCAGGATAACAAGAAAACAATTTTGAACAACTGGCAGAAGCAGAAATGGTCTACTTAAAACATGCCAAAAGCAGAAAGCATTCTTAAGGTTTCCTAGGCAATTCAGCCTCCTTTTCTGTACTGTCGGGTGTTCTTCCTGGCTTTTTATGGATGCAGTCTCTCAAATGGCTTTGTTGGAGTGACTGGCAGCAGATAGAATAGCTCTGTGAAACAGGTGAGCAAAATAAGCAATGAATGTGAAAATTCATTATCAAGTGACTAAAAAAACCCGAAGTAGCTATTCCTCAGAGTGCATTTTTGAAATCACCAAAGCATGCAGTACAATTAGGGAAAAAAATCCCTGCAAGAGAAACAACCCTGCAGCCAAATAAAGCTTTTAGGCACGTACCTTACTCACTTCTTTCAGAGCTTGCTTGCAGCTCTCATATTTTGGTGAGTCTTTAGGCGTTTTCTGGCAAATAGTCTGAAACAAAAGTTTTGTGGCTTCAGAGGACCAAGAAGCACCAGCAGTAACAAACACAGAGCTGGGGACGGTGCATCGCAGCGTGACACCGCTGGGACGCGGCACGGAAGCACCCGGAAGGTGACGGCCTTCCTCAAAATAAGGTCTTATTGCAAGAGGGCCCTTGGCCTAACCCTGCGGGCAATTTCTGTGCTAGCCTCTTCTGGGATTTCAGCAGCATTTTCACCTGCTACTGTAAAACTTTTAGATCAAAACAAAAATATTTTTGATCACGTTTGACTGATACTTTGTTGTCAACAGATCAGTATCTACAGCCCCGTAAATGGTAGAAGCAAGATAGTATGAAGGGATTGGAACAAAATGGGAATTGAGGAAAAACAAACCAACAGACAAACAAAACCCAAAAACACAAACAAAATATGCATGTATGCATATGAGAAATAAAAGAAAATAAGCCTGTTCTCACATCCATCAATAACGGAAGACGAGTAACTCTCTGCATTGGGAGTATGAGGAAAGAGATCATAGGTAAATTCCTGCAGTCTTCATGGGACTCAATCCGTGACAGCACCTCTTTAAATGCAGGATTTGTAGCTCTGGTGAGAAAAAGGGAAGGGTGGTTAAACAGAATGCTTTAACAAGAATTCCTTAAAAACCATTCTTTTTTGCTAAAATGGTAACATTATTCTGAGAGCAACTGAGGAGTCATAAAGAAAAGTGTGATGATGTTATACTGTAAGGGTTAATTACAAGCATTATCAGCATACCATTTTTTCTAAATGAATTATCAATTTTTTTCTTACAGGAAGTGCAGTTCGGGGGTTCTTCAGCTTTATTTATTTAGATGTGGAAGACCAGTATTAACATTTAGAATTCCTGCAGTCTCCCATGCATGCAAGGGTGCCAACGAGCAAATATGCAATACATAAAACATGACTTGAACAAATTAGTAAAATTGTACTTAATTGTACTTAAACAGAATTGAGCACATGACTATAAGTGGGATTGGACTATGCAGCCAGGCTTATTTTCACACTTAATTACTCAAAGGAACTCGTGCATTAAGGAAAGCCGGCATGTAACTACATGCTTAGCTAGAAGCTATAGGTTTCGCACCGAAATATCCCAACCTTTGGCTCCTACTAAAAGAGGAAGATTTTGCAAATGTATTTTCAGATTATTTCTTACAGTAATTTCTGTAGTGTTCGCTGCTGATAGACTTCATTAGTGCAATATTTTACGTATGGGTCAAACGTTGAAGCAGCATGCTTTCCCACTATATCACTAATATCATCAATGAAGATGTTGTTCTGATGTTTTGCTTCAAGTTCTTTAAAGAATCTGCAAAAACAAAAAGAAGCTATTCTGCTCATCCCCCAAACAGCAGACCCTCTCCAGCAACAGCTTCCCCTGGCACAACCCGTGGTTTTAGTCAGGGAAAGGGCGAGTGCTCGAGTGCTCTGTGCAAGGGTGGGAGCCTCTCTCCTTTGGAGACCTCCCGAGGGCGGCAGCGCGTCCCGGCAGAGCTCGGCAGCGCGGGTGCCACCAGGCTGCTCCATGTTCCCCATCACTGCCATCCCATGGCAAACAGGACACTCTAGTGACAGACAGAGGCTTCCTAGCGCTCTGCAGCGCTACCCAACAGCCGGGGCCGCGGGGAAGCTCTCCAGGGCCCCCAGGCTCCTGCATCTCCCTTCGGAGCACGAGATCCCGGGCCAGGCCAGGGCCTGCACCACGTTACGGTTCTGCTTCCGCAGCCCGGGAACGGTGCAGTCCAACAGAGGCACTAACTGGCAAGAGGGCTAAGCTGCAACGACACCTCCTGCAGCACATGCACTTCTGCTTAGCAGCAGGTTTGCAATTTCACTGCAATTCTAGACTTAACAAGAAGGTAAGAAAATTAACCTCAGCGTGGCACAGCTGAGCATTTCTCATGTTCCCCCACAGCTGAATTCAACCACTGAGCACCACAAACTGCAGACAGCAACTGTGATCCGTTCCCACCCTCCCAGACGTATCCGCAGCAGGAAGAATTTCTCAGCACGCTGCCAATTTACTCTGCTCAGGAAACCAGGCAGCGCAACACTTCGTGCTGGATGCTCTCGCATGCTGACAAGGCGTGCGAACTCCCTGGGCCAGAACTTCATTTTTTAAACTTATCTGGGACTTCATCAAGGACATCATCATCAGACAGCACAGTCCTGGTAGGGGACAGCGCCACTCCTGGGTAGTAGGAAATCAAAAACAGAGAAGGGACCAGGACAGGCCCACGCTGCTGCCGCCGATGCTACAGGAACCACTGCTCTGAAAAATCACCCCTCAAGGCTTGAATCTAGGATTATCCTGCCGTGCATCCCATCCAGTAACTCCAATATACATATCAGTAAAGCAGACACACCATAAAAACCCCGCATTTAAAATTTTAGGACAAAACCCATCATAAAGATCAGTATAGATAAATCACTGTCAATTTAGCCAGCTACCTGACTGCAGTGTGTGCTGGGCCTTTTGCTTAATACCAGGAGGAGCTATGTGAGTTTGCACTGTTTAAATCCAGAACTTTTCTGCTTAAAGCTGGATCCAAACAAGTGAAAGCCAGAGAGTATCACCAGGACTTGATTCGCTTTATCTTGCCCCTGTAATACAGAGGAACTCTTCCTGCCCTGAGGACTGTACCTACCAATTTAGAAGCACAGATGTAATTCACCTTCTACTTCCTTACAGCTCAAGATCCAGGAACTCTCGAGATCTCAGCAATACCAACTTTGTCCTGTCTTTGAGAGGCGCCTCCTCCTTGAGGTCTTGGTGGTTCTCGTTAAGGGTCTTCTCACGTCTTGACAAGGTCATTAACAGTCTGGTAATTGTAACCACCAACAAAGTTCTAACCTTTGCTCAGACGTGCTTCTTATTCTGATTTTTCCTACTTCCTTTATTCTCTGACTGATACCCATAACTTTAAGCACACTATGTTAACTCAGACGCATAAAAACAAATGCACAGCGGAACACACACAATGCTGCAAATAATTTCCTACAATTCACCCTTCTAAAACTGAGGCTAGGTCTCGTTCCAAACACAAAACAATTTTAACAGCAGTTTCACCAAAACAGATGCCATGAGTACCCAGACAACAACAAACTTCCTAACATTAATCATGTTGGTCAAACTTCCTTCTCAACATTTACTCCCTCTTCTACCCTAAATAAAATATATTAACTAAGGCTTACAGGATACTCAAAAGTGGGGATTCACTTAAACAAATACTATATTCCAAAACTAGATTGCATTGAATTAGCAAATCCCAATTAAGCAGCCAGAAGAGGTTATAAGCAGGCAGGCAAAAAAGGAGTTAGAGGAACAAGCACCCCCAGGCACCAAACCTGCTGCGGGGCGCAGGAGGCGCACGGCTCCCCGGAGGGCACGGCGGGGCACTCGGTGCCTCTCACCAGGCTCTGCAGAGCATCTGCAACCGCCACGAAATAACAACTGACCTCCCCTCCACCCGTGAGGAATCCCCGGGGGATTTTAGAGACCCAGATTTGTATGGACATAGAGCAAACGGAGCTCATGATCCGTATGAAACCAATCTCAGCCAGCACATACCTCATCCTCCCTGCTTCTTCCATATAGATGGAAGCTGGAAAATATTTTTAAGGTTTTTTTTTTTTTAAGGCACAAACTAGTGTAAATATTCATTAGATACTCTGGAAGTTGTAAATCTTCAGTCTAATAATTGTATTTCCTACAAAGCAGAAAGAGCTGTAACTTTAACACTGACCACATTAACCTCCTTGGCACTGAGGAGCGTGAATTCCCAAGCACCAAGAACTAATGAAAAACAATATATGGCCTGCAGAATGTCGACGGCCAGTGCCAAGTTCCTGAGAAAGCAGCATATCCTCATGGCCGGGGCATGCGGGGAGGGGGATCCGGCTTCCAAGCTGCGGAAAAAAAAAAAAAAAAGAAAGAAAGAAAAAAAAAAATCACAGCTTTCTTTTTGGGGAGAAAGCGCCACGGCTTCATGCTAATGGGAACATGCTGTGCCTGCTTCGGCAGGAATTCCCTTGCTAACAATAAGAGAAGTAGCGCTCGCGGTTTTTAAATTCTCAGTTCTCTCTTCGTTGTAGTACAGCCGCTCTTTCGTCAATAAGGCAGAAATACATGAAAAGAGCTGCAAGAAATCATTGGGTCTCATGGAACATTCAAGTTATCAGTGGTTTCATTAAGGGCACCTAGAGGCATTTGCTACCTCAGTCTTTTAAAGAGGCCAATCCTAAATAATGGTTCATATTTGATAGACCTAACACAAAATCTATAGCATTATCTCATAATCCACAAGAAATACTTTTGATTAGGCAATATCCACCGAGCAACTACAGACAGACACAAGAGGGAAGGTGCTGACGAGCTCTTCCTGCAGAAGAGGCTGTTGCCCTCTCAGCAGGTCGTGGCAGAAAGCCGGGTCCGTAGAGCGGCCCGGGCAGCGCGGCCGGGGTCCAGGGAGACTCCCCGGAGCCCAGAGCGCCCAGCCTGATGCTCTGCACCACGACTCGACCAGCTGCAGCCGGGACAACGGGAGCCCCGCGGCACGAGCACCGTAGATCTTCTTGATAAAGGATGGGGATGTGACAGCAGGCGGGTTCCTTTTGGAAAGCTTTCCCATGCTGAACAAAGCAGTGCTGCTTGCTATGCTGCTAGGGTAAGGAGTGGGACTGTGCGTCTCCTGGGTCTGAAAGTCAGCTACGTTTAACCCATTTAACACAGAAATGCATGCGAACAGAATTTGTGAATTATTTTGTGAAGCTCCCCAGCCCCAAGGGCTGCAGCCACGTAGCACACTTGGCTGGATTAGACAGCTAGATGGATAAACACAGCAGAAAAAGCACTCGAGAAGGATCTAGGTGCTGTCACCTCCAGCACCCAGGTTCCAAATCAAACATTAGCATTAGCAAGTACTGCCTTGGTTGCTGTATGCAGGATAACCAATTCAGCCCGGTATTTTGGAAGGTGTTTCTGTTAACAACGCGCAGCCGAAGCGCACACAGCTCGCGGCGCGCTGCCCCAGGGATCCTCGCAGGGAGCCAGGGAAGGACATATATCCTCCCTCTTGACGGGCTGCCTAAACACAGCTATTTCCAGGCTTAGGAACGGCTCGGCACCTCCTCAGAGCTGTGCAAAAAAAGGCAGTGACCTTTTATCCGAGCCCCGGCTGATGTCTTGAAGTGCTATCGTTCTTTCAGTCACAGCAAAGAAACTCTTCCTTATTAGTCTTGGAGAAGGAAAGCAGAGATCCAAGCTCGAGCATCCGGTTAGCATTCACTTTGCTACCAAAAACCGTGCAGATAAATACATTTTTCCTTTTCCATGCTTCCCGCAGCGATGCTCACACCGGCTCCCCGGCAGCACTTGGCTTCGGCAGCTCCTGCCCCTGTCCCGGTACGGACCCAAATGGACCTTCCGTGTCCGCACGCGCACGGCGAGGCCACGGGCAGGACGGCTCCGCTCCGCGGCTCGGCCGCGGCCCTCTGGGCAGGGCTCACCAACACGGTCATTCACCAGCTCACGGTTTGAATTCTTGTCCAGCCAAGATTTAATCTCTAGCTGAGATACCTTTCCTTGATGCCACTATTATCTGTTGCTGGATAACATAAAATATCCAAAGTCAGTGCGGGGGGAGTCACCGTCTGCTTTAAGAAATGAAGATATACTGGTAATATCAAAAAACGAGCAGAGAATGAGGCGGGTAGAGACCTATGAGATCCTAGGCCGAGGAGCCCAGGCGGCCCAGAGGGGAGCACTGAGCACCGCGGCTCTCCCGAAGCACGGAGCGATCGGAGCAGGGCAGGGCAGCGCGCGCTGCCGGCCTCCCCACGCGGAGCACGAGCTTCCCCAGGGACCAGGGAAGGGGAGCGGCTCCCCCTCCTTCGGCGGAAGGACTGGGGGTTGTGACGGGAGCATCTCAACGTTGTGACGGGAGCATTTTCATCTGTTACTCGGGATCTTGGCAAACGAAACGCTGCAGGTTTTAACTGCATGGTAAAATAGACCAGAGGGTGTTCATCTCCATTGCCAAGTAAAGCACCCTGAAGTCCCAAGCTCCTTAACTGTGAAATCATTGATAAACCATCCCCTGAAGGTTTTGCTCTGAGGAAAGCAGCAGATGGCAGCGCCAGGGCGAGGCGGATCCTGCTGCGTGACCCTGCAGGCGCCCGGCCTCGCGCCGCGGCGGGACACGCGCAGGGGGCTGCTGCCACCAGCTGCCCTGGCGCAAACAACCCAGGGCCACGGGCCACGTTCCAACCGCGAGAGCAGCGCCAGCATCACCGCAATCCAACGCTTTCCTTAGAACACTGCACCGGTTCCACTGAAAAGGCTGGGATACGGGATATATGTATATATACACACACATATATAAAGGGGGTTAGATGTGCCCGTGCAACATCTTATGGCTATTTCAACATTTGTTGAGTGAAATGGTAGGAAAGAACAGAAAACCGGCTACACGATCCGCATTTTGATACCATCACAAACGACCTCTGGGATTTGGCAGATTTTCTCATTTAAATATCAGTGGCATAAAATTTGCATTTAATTTCACTGCAGCCAGCATTGAAAGAAAAAAAAAAAGAAAAGAAAAAAGAATCCCAAAGACAGCAAGAGTTTTACGGGGCTGCTTCTTGGAGATGGTGCACGAACCAACGCATGGGAAACACACGGAATGATGGCTGGACCTGGGAGTTCTGCACGCACTTCAACAGACATTAAAAACCTTACTTTGGACCTCCAAGCTTACTGCACTTTCTACAAAGCCAGGTATGTTCCTCAAGGGTGCTTTTTTGTAGGTGATTGCTAGTTATTTCCTAAAAGTACAACTCTGTTCAGTAGTTATTCCTGGATATTACAGTCATATACCTAATTCTGCTTCCAATAAGCAAGCTAGCATGTAAGAGAACTGGTTAGGAAACCAAGCACCACCGTATATTACTTTAAAGTTACCGCTAACCAAGACTACTTCTCATTTGCAGTGAAGGCCAACCCAGGGAGTTTCTTCAGCTGCCAAAATAGCTCAACAAATAACTCCTGGAAGTCAGGCCAAGGAGCTCAGAGAACCGATGCTAAACCACCAAGGTGGCGATGTGAAGAAACATGAATACAAAACCACTGTGCCAAGGAATCAATAGGATGTAAGATTCCACCTGTGCTCTGCGAGCAGGCAGAATTTGGAAACAAAACCAAATAAAAACAACAGTATTTTGGAGCCCCGGGCGCACGGCCCCGCCGGGAGCGCTCGCCTGGCCTCGCTCCCGTCTCGTGAACCACGGCCAGCACAAGGCGACCCGGGATCCGCTCGCCACCTCCAACGAACGGTCCCGCGCCAACGGCCTGCACGTGAGGGGCGCGCGTCGCGGCCACGGAGCTCCTGCCCAAATCACTGAGTGCCCAAACACCCAAATCATTAAATCTCTCCTGAAACCATGCAGAACTGCAGCAACCGCGGTGAAAAGTACAACGTGGAGCACGGCTGTGACGGCCCACCCCGAAGAGGGGCTGAGGATAGTAACGACCAGCAGTACTGCTGCCTTGCACCTGCGGATCAATGTGGTGAGCTATAATTCATTAAAAAACATGAAAGAAAATACATGTGCATATAATTTATGGGAAAACCAAGCTTCTGATGTTCCGTGAGCTTCTTGTCTTTCGCTGGTCTAATGGAAGAGAAACAAACGCCAGAGCCTTCCCTGGCGCCATGGACGTGGTGACAGCCCCGCTGCTCTCCAGCGTGTCTCCTCGTCGAGCCCGGGAGGCTCCTGGGCACGCAGGGCCGTCCCGTGGTCCCCGGGGGCTCTGCTCTTACCGGGCGCCTTCTGCAGCTCGCCGAGCTCGCCTGGGGGACCACAGGCACTGCAGCCACGTCCTCCAGCTTCTTGTTTTATGTTTGTGCAGAAAATGAAAGGCTGCCTAAAACAGAACACGTGCTGAGACAGAAACTCAACTTTCCTATGTTTTTGAAACAAAACGGTGGGTTTTGCTACTACCTTAAATGGGAAGTGATAGTTTGAACACAGTGAGACAAAGGCTTTTATTTTAGAACCACTGGCATTATCTGCACAGTGAGATGGTAGAAATCCAGACTTTGTTAGAGTCAACAAGATTGTATAACTCTGAAAAGTCTTAATGGGAGTTATGAATTCTCTTTTCACTGTGAGTTATAAAAAACAAGTTCTTGAGCCATTAGACTTTCCAAACAAGAAAGAATAGGATCTTAATTTTAGGCTGCTGCAGTATTTTCCAGCTCTTTTTCTTTCCCCTCCTCCTTCAAAGACCGTTAATCAAAAGGGTTTCAAAAATTCTCCTAAAAATATTGCTTTTCTCCCCCTCCCTGTCTGTGCTTTAAATAGTTCAAGTGAGATTTTTAGAGGGGATTTAACAGCTTGGAAGGCTCCTGCATTGAAAATACACGAAAACCCAAACAAACGCTATCCACATGGCTATACTGATGCTATGCACTGTGTAACTGTGTCTTACAGAAACAAGTCAAAGCAGCAGCAAAGTTTCCGGGCTACCTAAGCCTCTATTTTCTATTAAACTATCTAAGATAAAGGTGCCAATGACATTTGTCCAGCAAACGTGGGCTCAGGATACCTTGTTTTCAGGCACGCGATTCACGTGCCACAGAAGCAGCACCGTTAACGAGCACCGTCCCGTGGGGATGAGGACTTGGCAAACCTGCCCTGGCAGCACTGCTGCTGGGTGACTGCCCGTCCCCGCGGTGGCCGCGGGCCAGGAGACACCCGGCCCTGGCAACTCCCCTCCTTACAAGGAAAAGAGCAGCACAAGGGAGCGGGGCAGGGCGGAACGCGCAGGTATACGGAACCAGTCCGAATGCACAACTATTACCTGGCTCCTAGGTTATGTTTGAACTTGTCACTAATGTATTGGCCTCCTTCACACAAACGCTTCACGAAATAAAATCCTATCACCACAAAAACCTCAGATGCATCAAAACAGAGCGCTGCACAACACATGTAGAATTCCAGAGGCTGCGCGTGGTCTCAGGAGCCAGGAGAGCCTTACCACAGCAGCGGCTGCAAAGCTGGGCAAGGTCTGCAAAGATAAACACAGGCTTAATTCACAGCTTGTACAAAAACAAAAAGGGACAAAAGAAAAGGAAGCAGAAAAAAGGTGAAAGAGACTGCAGAAATATTCCTGGTCTGACACATTCCCTGTCCAGTCATTAGCTCCATTTCTCAAATAAGGCTCAGCACTTTTGTTTTTTGCACAGAAATGGAAATATACTTAAAAGTTCTATGACATTAAGAGTAAGAACAACAACTGGTGTCTTAGCAATTCTTTAGCTAGTGCTTGACTTCAAGGTAGAAAACTAGAAAATAAGGACTAAAGTATAGGCATTTGGGGTTTTGGTTATGTAAGTGACAGTGATTTAGCTGCTAGCACCGCTGTGTAACCAGGCTGCGAGGATGCACCAACGAAAGCAAATCCTCGCTAGGCAAGTGCTCGAGGAGCTGAAGTCTCTGTAACTGCCACAAACGCAGCCCCGCAGCGAGCGGCCAGAACAGGCTCTGCAGCATTCGCCGCGTTCCAGCCCGGCCAACGCTTCCTTGGCAGGCGGCCGCGAGTGAAGCTGCTCCCTGGGGAACAGCCGCGCGCTGAGGGAGCCCGGCCGGGCCCCGCGCTGCCGGAGCCGCCGCGCACCGAGCGCACGGGCTAACCGAGCACGGACAGCGCCGGCAAGAGACACACACACCACAACTGCTCCATCCTCAGTTCAGTTCAGGCACAGTGGGTTAGGAAGTAGTCAGGAAAACACACACTGAGCATCTTTGATCTCCCCTACCTGCTACATCAGTACAGCCACGAAAGCAAACCACTGTGCTGCTGGAAAAGCAAAGAGAACCTGGCACAAAAAGCTGAGATTCTTCCTAAATACGAGCACAATGCCTCTCGGGAGCAGCAAGTAAGGCACAGGGTGAGCTCCCAAGTACTGGCTATGCCACACACTGCACCCAAAGCTCTGCCCTCCAGGAGCTGCCATCAGGCACGCACAGAAAATGCAACCTGAAGCAACAAGGGCTTGCTCATTCATAACGCAGGAAAAGAGAATCCACGCTTAGCAAAATAAATAGATAAAAGTCAAAGCTTCATGAATTAGATTAATTTAAAAAGCACCACTTTCTCAGGGCCTGCATGAGGAACTGAGCCCTATGTTCAACCCCCAGGAATGCACAAACCATCGAGCAAAGAGACACAGCAGCACGTTCTCAAGCATGGACAAATCACAGACACCTGCAGCACTTCCAGTGACTGTTCCAGCATTACTAAGCCTAACCTTGTTGTGAGAGCCCGTGCCAGTCTGGGAGGCGCTTGGGAAGGTGTAAGCTCTCCGGTGCCCCGGGCAGAGGCAGCGTTGGGGCCAAGCGCGTGGGCACCCCCAGCTCTGCCGCGTCCCCCGCGGCCCAGAGAGCCCAGCGCCGCTCTGAGCAACCCCCGGCCCGTGAAAAGCTGCCACTGGGGTATGAACACAGGTCAACCGGGACTGCTCTTTTTACAACAGTCAGCCTAAGCCCTTGGTGAGGGCCTGCCCTGCACACTGCGTCTCACTGTGTTCATGGATGTTTTGACTACGTCCAGTCACCTTCGGGTGAAGCATCAAGGAAACGAGAAGGATTTATACCCCCACACTTACTTTTTGCTTGCTTCATAAACATCTGCAATGTTGGAGAAAAGGTGGTGGCTCTCCGTTTTGGTCATGGTGAGGCTCAGTTCTTTGGAATTTTTGAACATCCGGATCAGGATCTCCAGGCTCAGTAAATATGAATGTTCAGAAGATATTACTTCAAAAATAGCCTGCAAGAGGGGAAAAAGACTATTGATTAGCCTTCAAAAATAATAAATAAATAAAAATAAAAAAATGGGAGGGAGGAAGAGGAGCTCAAAAATATTTCCATGACTATTACTATACCACCTGCTCTTAGAAATACATGAATTAATAGTAGTAAAGGCTGTAGTAAGTCTAAGTAGTGGTAAAGACTGCAGTAAGAGGCCTGGCCGTTCCTGCAGCGCGCGGTGGCCCGGGGGCCGCGCGGCCTTCACCGGCCACAGCCCTTCCTCTCTCCGCGCAGGATCTGCCCCCCTTCTAGGCAGCTTTCACCTCCCCAGGCCGTTTTTGCTGTTCACCAACTAGAGTGTTCACCCGTACAAACAGCTTGGCAAAAAGGAACTCGCTTTGCTGAAACCGAATGACCTTGTGAGAAAAGGGTTCAGGAGCGCCCCGGCCGCAGGAGCTCCCTCCGAGCAGCACCAACGCAGAGCTCTGCCCCCAGCAGAGCCCACGGACCTCTGTGCTCAGCATCACTAACGTTAGTACCGCTAATTATTACCGTTAATACCAGGTAATACCATGGTATTTGCAATTAACTTCTCCAAGCAGTCTCAAAAAAGAAGAAACACTTTAAGTGCGAAAGTGCAGACACGGTATTCAGAAGGTTAGACTGCCTCTGCCACATCCCTTAGACACAGACCTAGGATACCCGTGTGTGCCAGGCAGCCCCTGGGGCAGCCCTGCCCGCTCCCAGACTGCCAAGGGCAGAAAGGTGTCTAAAAAGGGCATCTGGGCCCTTGCATTCCCGACGTTCAGCCTCCCTGCACTCGCAGGGAAAGGCCTGCTAAGGATCTCTGCAGCACTCCAGGATTAACTGGGCGCCAGCCAAATGTTTTTCAGCACAGGAGGAAAATAGAAACTTTTATTATTATTTTGGAGCGGGTGTTTTTATGCTCTCACTGAGGGCCCTCGTGGCTTTCCTCCAGTTTGATGACAGCAGGACCACATTAGCCGAGTCACAAGGAAACGGTGCACGTGGATACTCTGCTTCTGCTGTTTTCCGGGGGAATGAAGGCACGTACCGAGCAGAGCATGACAGAGAGCATCATCTCCCCAAACACGTCTCAAAGAATGGAAAGGCAGGATGAAGCATCCATCATCCTGGCCTCAACGCGTGGCACGTACCCTGCATTCCCGGGTGGTGGCACATGCAGGGCTGCAGCTTCCAGCAGCAGAGCCAGACACCACCCACGGGAGGGGATTCCAGGTCAGACTGCTCATCTGGTGCACTTGCCTTAGGCAAGGGGTGCACAGGG